AGTCACTCACCGAAAGTAGCAGACAGCTCCCATGTGCTCCTGATGCTCCCTTCAAGTCAAGATTATTCATCACAGGGCTAACAGTATTCACTCACAAGGCTAACAGTAGTCTTTTTTTATTATAAAAAGGGCCTTTCCAGTCAAGAATAAGACAGGGTTAGAAAATTGAGAGCATTCCTTCCTCAAGAAAATAGCTTTCTCTGTAATTTTATATTTTCAAAAATTGTTTTCAAATTATGTATTTTGAAGAACTGCTGCTTGCTTCATTCCAGTAAACAATTGTAAATTTTATTAAAGTATTAATGTTTATTTGAAGTGTTTTATTATCATATTTTGAAGTGTTTTATTATCATATTTAAACTGTTTCAGTTAGGGGTGTCTGCGGTTCGGTTTGGGACGGTTTGCGGTTCGGTTTGGACCTGCCCGCATCTATGCGGTTTGGGGAAAAGTCAACCCGCAACCGCCCGCAATGCGGTTTGCGGTTTGTGCGGATAGGGTTGGTGGATGTGCGGGCGGTTGCGGGCGGTTTGCGGATTGAATTTTTTTTCAAAAATTATTTTTAAACCCTTTTTTTTCCTCCCAGTCAATCTTTATTTTGGACATTTTTCCTCATATTTTATAAAATGCTCCAACATTAATAATTAATGAATTAAAACTTATAAAAAACTTACAAAATAAAAAACACAACAAATTCAATTCGAAACCTAAACAAATCACTCAAAATATACATTCATCATTAACTTACATTCATCCTACATTCATCATTCATAACCCAAATAAAAAAAATGCTACATTGAAAATTCTACATTCATCATTCCTAACCCAAATATATAAAAAAAAAAAAAAAAAAAAAAAAGAAATTCTTCATTAACTTACATTCATCCAAAATGCAAAAAAAAATAAAAATTCATTAACTTACATTCATCCAAAACCAAAATGCAATTAAAAAAAAAAAATTTGTTGTTAAACTTCATTCAATACAAACCCATGAAATAAAATAAAAACATTTCAATTCCAATCCTTCATTCACATGTTGTCAAACTTCATTCGCATCCAATCCAACTTTCCCAAATTCGAATTCGAATTCCAATTCCATGCATTTGGTTGATGAACCCTACACAAAAACAAATTGAAAAAATATAAACTTTAATCTTCAATTAGAGTAAAAAATAAAAAGATAAACAAATGTCTATATATTTCATCTCAATATAGTAACAAAATGTATTGAGTATATGAAAAAATTACCAATGATCAAATGGATATTAGAGATCAATTATAGCATCAACATTATAGGTTGAAGTTGAAGATGAGCTCGACTCCAAAGTACCTAATTAGGAATCAACAAGAGAAGATTAATAAAACTTACATTAGAAAATGAACAATACAAATAAAAATGAAGATAAATAAATTCTCATTTACCCGAGTCATATTGCTCAAATTCCTCCACATCATCCATCGCCTTTCGAAGAGAAATTGGAAGGTTGCTTCGAAGCCAATTTTGAGTACATACAAGAGCTTCAACCATAGAAGGTGAGAGTGAACTACGAAATGGGTCAAGAATACGCCCTCCCGTACTAAAAGCCGACTCCGATGCAACGGTAGAAATAGGCATGGCCAACACATCCCTAGCAAGTTGTGATAACACCCTAGATTTGGTTGTATTCACCTTCCAATAATCCAAAATCTCAAATGTTTGATTCTTTGCAAAATGTTCAACCTCGGATAAATATTGTTCCAATTCCGACTTAGATCCACTAGTGCATCGCCCCTCCAAATAGGAACTAAATTGGGAGTCAACTAAAGAATAGGGATCATCATCATCATCATCTTCCACCATATTCACAACTTCACTCACACTTGGAAGTTTCTCATTTGAAGGATAAAGTGTGACATAATGGCTATACAAACGACTCAAACAACTCTTAACCTTGTCAACCATCTCTTCCACCTTCCTATTATCTCCAAGAAATAAATTAGAAAAACAAAACTCCAAGTATGTCATTTTTTTGGTAGGATCAAGAACCACCGCAACATACAACAACAAATTGATTTTACTTCCATCCCCCCAATACTTGCTAAACTTTAGCTTCATAGTCTTTGCCATTGAGCTCAAAGTATCATCCTCCTCCAAAATTAATTGATTAATTTTGCTTTCAATAACAAACATCTCTTTGTAAAAAGCATTGGAAGTAACAAAGAGAGACCCCGAAAATTTCTTAGTTGCAACATAAAATAATTTTAGAAACCTCAAAAAAATTCTACACTTTTTCCAATCCAATTCATTCGGACTTCTTCTTATGCCACCATCAACATCCTTAAAATAAGGTTCAAAGTTAGAATCCACAAACTTCAATCGATTAAAAGCCTTCTCATACTTTTCGGCGGCCTCTAACAACACTTATTACTCAATAAGACTCTACTTACTATTTTATCAGACTTGGATAACACTAATTTAAACTACATTTACTATTTAATGAGACTGTACTTACTACTTTATCAAAATCACACTTACTGTTCAATGAGACTCTACTTACTACTTTATGAAACTTGACTTACCAGCCCATTACAACAAAAAAAAATTTTGCTGACGTTTTTTTGAAACTAAAACAGAAATTAGTTGCCAAATGTACATAATTGGCGACCATATATTTCAACAAAACTATTGGCGACGAATTGACTTTGTTGTCGCTGTTGAGTTTGGTGCTAAGTGAAATTTATGCGCGGGAGTTAGGGAAAAGTTTTTGTGACCAAATTAATATATGGCGACAAAACATTTAGCCGCCAAATGTATTATTTTTGGAGAAAACCATTTTTTAGTCACAGAAAATATAAATGATATTTACGGTGACCTAATTACTTTAGTCGCCAATAAATAATTTTTCAAAACTACACCGTTTTGCATTTGCCATAATTTTTAATTGCCAAAATAGGTGACCATCAATAAAGAAAATTTTTTCACCCTTGAAGCTCCATCTCATTCTCACTTTGAAGACCTTTATGTCTTATTTTCTCCCTCTCCCTCTCGCTCTCTTGCATCATCGACTACAGAGAGAGTGCCACCGATTACACTCCCTCGAACAGCGCTGCCCCTTCATCTCTCGCATAACCGATCGCGAGCAGCACCAATCATGTCCTTCTCTCTAGTCCCTGCCTTATCTCTGGTTGCTGCCCTTTTCCCTTCAGTCTCTCATCAATCTTCCTTCCTCCACCGGACTCGATCCTATAATTCCTCTATCTTCTGTGAGTTTTGGTTTTGAAACGCAAAAAATAGGTTGCAATATGAGAAATATAGAGAAAATAGTGCCAAATCTTAGGGTTTATATAATATGAAAATATTTTAGCCTGTAATTTACGGTGTACATATATATGTACATATTTTTAAAACAAATCTAGTGCCGCATTGTTTTATTAACTGGAAATATTGTTGGTGGATTTATGTTAATTCTTCATCCTTTTATTTTGTTGTTCTGGAGATATTGTTCTTTCCATAAGAACGTCTATGTGTAGGTGTATTAATTGGAAATGTGCCTCTATGTTTATTTTTTGCTACGATTTTGATTTCGGGTTCTAAAATTGACTTGCAATTTTTGTGCATCCGATGAGCAGAAGCTGTTGCTGATGCCAAAAAAGCAATTTAGTTCGATCCTGTAATGGCCAAGGTATACTTTCACAAAGGGTGAAGAGATCGGGGCGAGAGAGAGAGAGAGAGAGAGAGAGAGAGGCTTACCTGTGAGAGAGAGCCGATCGGTGTAGATGCAAAACCAGAGAGTAGGAGACTGTGAGATGAGAGAGTGAGGGAGATGAGATATTGAGAGAGACAGATCAGAGAGAGACAGATCTCAATATGTTCAAAAAAAAACCAAAGATCGGGGAGAGAGAGACATAGACAGAGATCAGAGAGAGGGGCTTTACCTGTATGCGATGAGGTCGATCGATCGGTCGATCTTGTGAGAGAGAGGCTCGATCACTGAGTGCGCAGATGAAAATCGCGAATAAGAGTGAGAGAGAGACCGAGAGGAGGAGAGGAGTAGGAGATAGGGTTCTGATGAATGAGTGAGTGAGTGAGTGGGTTTGATTTGATTGGATTAGGGTTTTTCTTATTTTGGACGATCAGATTTGAAGGGGAAAAAAAGAGGTTATTTTGAACGGTCAGATCAGATCAGATTAAAAAAAAAAAGAGTTTTATGCGGGCGGGTTGGGCGGGGGCGGGGCAAACCCGCAACCCGCCCGCAACACGAAATTTACATAAAATCCAAACCGCACCCTACCCTAATGTGTTTGCGAAACCGCCCATACATGCGCGGTTCGGATCGGGTAGGGCGGTTTGGGCAGTTCGGATGACCCTATGCCCAGCCCTAGTTTCAGTGCTATTTCCTCGCTTCCGTTCCCTTAATATTTATTTTTCATATTTTTGGTATTTATTAAAACTTTAAAATATTTTTTTCATAAATATTTTATTTTTTAGATAAATCTAAGTAAGGTACATTTTAAAAAGTAAAAAAATGTTTAAAATTTTAAAAATATTTACTAAAAATAAAATAACATAAAAAACAAAAAATTCAATTTTGAAAAATTTTAATCTGAAAAATTGAAACCAAAAAATTTTAGGCAAAATAGCATAAACTTTTCATTCGTTAGGATTTTATTTTGGCGCGCATTTCACTATTCTGGTTCACAGGCGCGCAATCCGAAATGACCGAAAGAACCTTACCAAAATAAAAACCCCCCAAAGTTTCGCACGATAAGGGTTGGTTTGGAATGTCCTAAAAAAGTGTATTTTTTGACTTATTGGTGGGTTTGGGTTGGGCTTGAGTTGGGTTTGATGTGATGTATTAGAGAGGTGATGTGATTTAAATAAGATGATATAACTTAAATAAGATAGTGACTTTTTAATTTTTTGACTTATTTAGTACATGCCAAACTAGCCCTAAGTTAGGACACATAAATCTCACTTGGGGCTTTATTGTCCATTAAAATCCGTCAAACATATTTTCCCGCCAATCCCAAAAACCCTATAGACAGATTCCGATCCCAACAGTTCACTCATTCTCAGTTTCAGGCCCCCATCAATGGCCGACGAAGAAGAAGACGAAGAGAACAACAACAATGACATAGAGACCATCTCACCAACGTTCCCGAATAGCCGAGTCAAGAAAATCATGAAACTCGACAAAGACATCAACAAGGTCAACTCGGAGGCCCTATTCCTCATCTCGTGCTCCACCGATCTCTTCCTCCAATTCCTCGCCGAGAAATCTGCCCGAGTCGCGATCGAGAAGAAGCGCAAGACAATCAAGCTCGAGCATTTGAGAGTCGCCGTCAAAAGGCACCAGCCGACTAGCGATTTCCTCCTCGACTCGCTTCCGATGTCTTCGCAGCCGGCGGATCGCCCACCTGAGGCCCGGACTCGGTCAGCGGAGAAACCGGTTCCGGCTGGGACTCGGCGGATCGATGATTTCTTTCAGAAGGGTTCTTAGTTTTTTTTCAATTTTTTTTTTTGTTGCCAATCTATGAAAATTGTACTGGTTTGATGATTTAATTTAGGTTATTTTGATGAAGTATTTGGATGGTGTAAAATCATTAAAAAAGATATGCAATTAATCGCTGTTTTTGTCGTACTCTCTTAATTAGGGGCGGGGAGAAGTGGAAATTTGGGCTCATTAATGGTTGTTTTGATTTGTCACTGTGCGGTGTGAGTTGTTGTAAATTGATATCAGTGGTGATCAAAAAACAGTGCTTACCCGTTCTTCCCAGTTTGAGCTTAATTTGTAGTGTTTTTATGTTTGAATTTGTTATTTCTGTGTGTAAATTCAAAAACCCATAGTTGAGTTATGAACTTGGTTATGTACACACTGGGGTGATATGGACGAATAATCACATCACCCAATGAAGCAGCAGTGAGTTATTTGGTAACCATTCTGAAGATATATAGCCTATAGATTTAGCTCACACACAAACCCATTTGAAATCAACAAATAAATGAAAAAGTCAGGCCTATTTGGTAACCATTCTGAAGATTAATTTATGTCTTTAGTGATCAGATATGATAATGATGCGAAGAAAATGTGCAGAGTAAACGAATTTAACTAGCATTCACTGAAAATGTGTGTTGAATTGCTTTACAGTTTTTGATGCATTCCACACATGCGTGCTGAATTTATACAGTTCTATCTAGCATTATAGCCCATTCCCTAATGCCATGGCACGTGTCTTCAGTTGTTCTCATGGCATTCATTGCATCAGTATCATTTTTCATCAATTGTTTACACTTTTATTTTTTCCCAAATAGTAATGTTGAATACAAGAATGGTATGAACAGCTGGCAATTAACAATTTTCTATAGGTAGAAATATGTAACACAACATTTTCTGCTTTTAAAGGAACTTGAACTTTTAGTTTGTATTTTTACAGTAAGAGACACCGGAAACCTATTGCCATTCTCACTTTATTTTTTGAATTGGGATGTAATTCTGTGATACCAAGTGTTGACACGAATGAGATCATCACTTTCTGATTTATAGGTGTAACAGTCTGAAGGAGTCATTGCAAAGGCATTCGGAACTACACTTCTTGGGCTCGCTGGCATGAGTGATTGACACTATTAAAACATGGTAAAGATACGAAAAGCAATCATACCATTTTTATGCACAAGAGAAACCATTCAAAGTGCAACCCTTGCCAAAACTTGCTAAAAAAAAGGATGAGTTATACTAATAATCTTGTTATAATTTTGCTTACTCTATCTTGATAGTTGTTATTGCTATATTTCATTCTGCATGGCAAGTCAAGGAAGTAATCAATTTAACTTTTTGCAGGCTCACTCCCAACGCTCTGCACAATGGAGTCCAGTTCATTCATGGTTAGAATCATTGGACAAATCTGAGGTTGTTAAATCCAAAGAAATTTCTGTCTGGCTCTCTGAGAATCCTAGTGTCAAAGAGATATTGTACTTGACATATTCTCGTTATCACTTGATGCACTATATCCAAAAATGCCATTCAAGAATGTTGAAGAGACAGGGAAGGGGAAAGGTATCTATTGCAATGGATGTGAACAAAGGATTGAAACGTGATCAGGAAATTCGCATTATCTCCTAGGTTTCTTGGCAAAATAAAATTATTTTTTGTCCGATATAATTGAAACATAAAAGGGCTTGTTTGGTTTATATCTCAAGATATAATTTTTGAGAAATTTTTTTTGAATTTTTTTTTTTCCAAAATCATTTTCTCTTTCTTACATATCAATCGATCATTTTTTCTCTCTTCTCTCTCCTTCTCAATCACTTTTTCTCTTATATATATCTACTCAGCTATAACAAAATATCAAATAATTCCAAACTCTCAAACTATTTTCAAAATATACAACAAAACAAACTAATTTTTTTTTTAAACTCTCTTTCCAAATTTTTTTTTGAAAATTTATCTCAAAACACATATCAAACACACCAGCTTTTCTGTTTTCACACTTCAAGTAAACTAGGTTGGATCTAGTATCATAACTTATGCCCTGTTAAAATCCACTTACTCTCCACCTACTTCACCCACTTAAACCTACTCCACTAAACCTAACCCACTACACCACTACCACCTCACCTACTCCACTAAACCTAACCCACTAAATCCACATACTCTCCACCTACTTCACCCACTTAAACCTAATCCACTAAACCTAACCCACTACACCACCTACTCTCCACCTACTTCACCCACTTAAACCTAATCCACTAAACCTAACCCACTACACCACCTACTCTCCACCTACTTCACCCACTTAAACCTAATCCACTAAACCTAACAACTGAGTGATGTTTATTATAATCCAAATGTTAGCTATATGCTCAAGGTAAAAGTGAAAATTTCTCTGTCTATGCGTTGCACATACCTTCAAATTTCCATGCAGAAAATGGACTGGTCTTTAGATGTATATTTTTATTGGTATAATTGTATGTTCGACCAGTCCATGTTTGACTAGTCCATGTTAATCTATACTTCTGAAATTATTTGTAGTTCTTGTTCCCTCTCAAAATTTTAGATCTTTCATTAATGTGTATTTTAAGTAGGCATCTGTTACATTGTGCAGTATTCCAATCTTAGTATCCCTATGAAAACTAGAGAGAATGAGGAGAACGCAACAGCCATTCGAGCTCCATGTATGTTATATGCTTTATCCAATGATAAATTTCTTACTTCTTATTTTTTATTTTTTGTCATTCAATCTTCATTTATAGATTGCTTGTGTGTTCTCTTAATCCAATAATCACCTCACACTTTTGCTTCTCTACCAGCTTGCATGTCCTTTTACTTGCAGCTTGATTGTCTCCTTCAAATCAAATGCTCTTTCACTATCTTTGTGACAAGGACAATATTATGGTGCCACATATACTACGGATGAATTGTACACATGGAAACTTTTGCAGCAGAAAGGCCATACAATTTTGGCTTTAAAAGGATGTCTCAACATGAAAACTTGTTGAACCAACTACAAAAGTGAAGAAACTACTTTTTGATTCCAAGCAGAATGTAACCTTTTTATGAAGCCTTAATTTGATCTTGTTATGGGTTATGTTGGCTAAGGGATTGTTTGGCAACCACCTAACAAAGTATACTTATTGCCTTTTTATCCTATTTTGGTCACATCACCTTTTTTTTAGGTCACATCACTTCTCTGCCACATTTCACATCTTTTCATAAAAACTAAATAGTTACTAAAATAATCTATTCCCAAACAACCTCTAAGGTCATACGTAGCTTACAGCTTCTTTGGTATTCATTAGAATGCATGTTGCCACAATTCACTGCATAGCATGGAATTTTAAGGGTTTAACCGTCTTTTACTTTCGTGTAATAAGGACATTCATTGAGATATCATCAAGGCCAGCTTTGTGAACAAAATATGAACTCAGAAATTCACTCTAGTTCTGTTGTGCTGTATAGCGACCCCGGTTTTCCCTCCATTCATTATTGTATCCCGAGCATAGGTTCCGTGGTGTGGGATGTTGTATATATCTTGTTTCCGTCCTTCAATACTTTGTATTTGAGTTGTAGGATGTTTTGGGCAGGTTTGTTACAGGTTGGGGGTGATTGGGAGCAAATGGTTGCTGCCCAGAATTTTGGTTTTTCGCTCGAGCGAGGATTTTGTCGCTCGAGCGAGCTCTTTGTTTTAGTTCCTTCGCTCGAGCGAGAGTTGGGTCTTGTGTCTGGTGGCTCGAGTGAGAAGCCTTGCGCTCGAGCTTGCGTCTGCGTCTCTTTTTGACTTGATGGTTTTGATTCTTGGCTCGAGAGAGCTTTCCTTCGCTCGAGCGAGTGAACTGTATGTTTTGAGTTTCTTTGCTCGAGCGAGCTTTTTTTCGCTTGAGTGTACTTCTGGGTTGCAGACCTGAAGATTTGAATTGTTGGCTCGAGCGAGGCTTTCTACGCTCGAGCGAGTGTCCTTTGTGTCTGGTCGCTCGAGCGACCACTCCTTCGCTCGAGCGAGCCTGGTGTATTTCAGTTGACAGCAGCGGGATTACACTTGACTTTTTCATCTCCTCTTTTACGTAAACCCTAGAACCGACTCTCCCTCTCTCTCTATATACCTTCTCTCTAGGGATTGATCTACTTATAGTGTGTTTCTACCCTAACCTCTTTGTAAGAAAGATAGAGGGTGACTTGGGCTTCCTTTTAATCTGAAAATTTGTGGGTTTGTAGCACTTTGGATTTTCGCCATCTTCTCCATTTGGTCTATCTATTTCGAGGTAGGGATAACCTACTCCATCTTATGAGTTTTGGCATAAGTTTTATGTATTTTGATTAGTTGGTGGTGTTTGGTAATTTTGGGATAAGTTAGGGTTTGGTTTTGTAATTTATAAAGAGGGGTTTTCAAATGTTTAAACCCATGTGTATATGAGACCTTGGAAAAAATGGTATTATTGTTGTTGAAATGATGAAATCGAACCTTAGGGTTGATATTGAGAAAGGGGGAAAATGCCCTAATCATTGTAATAAATTAATTTGTATAATTAATGTGGGGAAATACGAAATTGAGTTGAAAATCATGAAATTGAGAAATTATGAGATTGATTGGTGTAGTTGGACAATTTAATCACTCACCCATGAGAATGTCGATGTTTTATCTGTTGATAAATTTATTATCTGTTTAGAGATAACTGCTTTGGGCTATCGGTGGAAGATAGTCTTGATTGTTGTAGACACTGTATGTCGATTAGGGAAAACTGAAACTAATCACATTGATTATGTCATTGAATATGATGGTTGGGTTAATACAGCAAAATTGATTGATTATTGTGTATGACAAGTGTTTAATTACATTGTATATGCATATTGTTTGGGAAGAGATAGGGGATGTACTCCATGGTTTGAGAGGAGATAGCGGATGGACTCTCAAACCTATTTTGGGAGGAGATAGGGGATGAACTCCATTGATACAGCAAATATGTGTATCACTTGAAGTATGAAAGTGTTTAATGTGAGTTGTTATCTCATTTGAAATGAAAGTGTTGTAATGTGAGCTTTAGGCTCATTTGAATTATTAATATTGGAAGTATTTTTATATGAGTTGTTGTCTCATGAAAATTGTTTGGGTCAAGTTCTGAGCCATGTTTGTATAAATGGAAAATTGGATAAGTAAAGGAAAGTGGGGCGCAACATGGACTTGATTGTCATGGAATTGTATCGTGATATAAATTGGTTTATAAGTGTTAACCATCTATCAAATACTATTGTTTTAGTCATTGCTTATATCTGGTTTAGTGTATCTTTACTGGGCATTAGCTCACCCTTTATGGGACATCATTTTCAGGTTCAGGTGATATGCAACCTCCAAGGACATAGCTTGGGAGGCCTAGTGACTGGAAGATCTTTTTGATGTTATCTTTGTGTTACATGTAAATCAAGCCAAGGGCTTATTTTGTATAAAAAGTTAGACTCTTCTTTTGTTGAACCCAAGTGTTGACTTGGAAAGTTGTAAGCCCGCAGGATATTTACTTTTGTTGTCAACATGTAACACTTTTGTAGTAAACACTCTGATTTATGGAATGTATTGTCCGTTTTTTGTATCATGAATGTATAAGTTATGGGTTTATTTTGAGGGTGTTACATGCTGCTTTAGAGGATCCAGGTTTTAAGGTATATTTTTCTTGCAGGCAATCCTTCAAACAATAATACAAGGGAAAATGACATAGCCAGAAGAAATGAAGCTCTTCACAAATACAAAGTGTATGTTGAATTGAGTTGTGTATTTTCTAAGTTAACAATTATTATTATTAGAATTTTTGACTGCATTTCTTAAGGAGTTTCAGATTAACTGAATTCAAGGACCAGCTATACATTGTCCTCTCAAAACATGAACAAATGACAAATTCAGGAGAGTCATTCTTGGTGAAACAAATGGATGTAGATGGGACGCATAATGAGTAATATGGAATGGCAATGAAGGGATAATTGAGTTTATGTTCTGTGGTGGATCTCATTCTCTGGATGGAGGTTTTTCGTAAAGCTTGATTCCATTCTGCAACACCATGGAGTAGGCAGCCCTTCGTGCCTCCACTGGGCACATCTTACTGTCTACTGATGTGGCTTCCTAAGAAACTCCATTTTATTCCCTTAGTCTGAATGCAGCATTTTGATATCCATGCTTCCTCTAATAGCTTTGGCTACTAAGAATTTTTTAGTTTAATTATAACCTTTTCCTTGAATCATATACTTCCTGAATTTTTCGGGATTGATTGGCAAAACGGATTTCAAGTTTTTGCTTTAGAATTGTAGTCAATTGTGTTACTGATGAATCAGTGTTTGGAAGAAATCATAATGCTAAAATTGATTTTTGAAATCTTAACAACTTCCATTTTATGACATTTTGGAAACCATTATTTTGGACTCCATTTCTCAAAATTCTGTCCTGATTTTTTAATTTGTAATAGCTGTGTTCTTTTTTGCATGCACTAAAAAATTATGAGACCAGAATCGTTTCTGCTTCAGTCTTACTTAGTAGATCACGGATAAAGGTGTTGTGGAATAAACCACACAAACACACAAAATAGCAAGAAGAATCAAATCACAGACAAGAAAACACGACACAAATTTTTGTGGTTTGGGAAGTTTGCCTATATCCATGGCTCACACCAGTTTCACTATAATGAAAGCAGAGAATAGTACAATGTGTGCTGTGAAGACAACAATATATATGCTAGGGTTTACATAATCAAATTGCCGTAATACCCTTAGTACAATTATTCAACAAAACCCAACAAAAAGAAACTATTATTCTTACACACACATTGAGCAAGATGAAACATGGCATTGCTCAATTCACCATCAAGGAACTGCTGCTCGTTGATTGAAAGCATCTTTCACTGTACTTCTTGGTACATGTAATATTATACTGTACAACACAGAATAATAAATTGATCAAAAAACTGTTTTTGTTTGCATATTCCATCACAAATCCCTTGAGGTTCAAGGCGGGGCCCTTCTTGAAAAGATGCGAGGCATAATTAGAAAGGCCATTACGCAGTTTGATCCTGCCTATGCAAGACAGTGGGAGTGGTGAATTGGATACAGACCAAACCTTCAGCATTATTTGCACAAAGTGACTGCTGTTTGACTTAAGCACAATGGGCATAATTACACAACCATCTTTGTAAACTGAATTAACTAACTGAGTTATTCTTGTGCAGGATCTAAATTTTCATCGCATTTTCAAGGTGAGAAGGGGCCAGAAAATGTTGAGACTACTGAAGCTGTATCGTCTCTGCTATGAGAAGCAAGGCCAGTTCGTGCAAGTATCTTTTGGCTATGTGTTTTCTTTCCTTCTTTTATGAAGGCTATGCTCTGTGTTGCTGAGTTGCTGCCATTTAATCCAAGTTGCTGTATACCCAGAGAAAGCCTTCTGTTTACAGGGCTAGCATTGTTAAAACCTCCATTTAAGCTTTTGTTTGAAAGACGTCGACTGCCGGTGCTTGGCCTGGGCCCAAACAAATTTTCTTGCTCAACCACTACTTGAATCTGAACCTTCTTCTTTTCCTGCGGAGAGAAGCCCGACTTGTTAGAAAGTAAGGAAAATTGAAAAGCTTATAGTGGATTCTGCTTTATCATTTGCGCACACCATAATCTTTAATGTAGTGTTTGGTTCATTGGAATGCAGGTGGAATAGAATGATCATTCTATTAGAATGTTCATTATACAAAGGCTAAGGAATGAGCATTCCATTCTATTCCACTTTTATTCCAGTGAACCAAACATAGCACAAGAGCATTACCCCAGGAGTGGGTGGGGGGAGGCTTATGTTTGCATTATTTTTTTGTGAACATATATTTGAACTTCACTTTATAGTGACCATGATACTAACCCTTTGTCTTTGCTTCTGTTCTTCTCTTTCCTGCCTTAACATGTTGTACTCTTCCAACATTGCCAGCAGAGGTACCTTAAAACAGCAGCAATCACCCAGGTAAGCATGAATTTTGTTTTTTGTTGTAATAGCAGAAATGCATAATCAAAAAATACCCAAAAGAAAAATTCTGCTTGCATCTGTGAGTCACTTATGTTCGTGCTTTCTACGGGAAGCAGTACAAATCCTCTTTCAATATTCATATAAGTTGATCTGATTCTTCTGATTTGTTGTGAACTTAAAGTAAATTACAGTTTCACTTTATTCAGCACTAATTTAGAGCAGTTTCTCATTAATTTGTAACACCTTATTAAGCAATTTGGGTGAAGCCAATTTTAGTAAAAATGCATTTCTATCAATCTGTTGTTGAACCTGGTAAAAGAAACTATAAACATGCCAGCATAATTTATAGAATTGACATGTCAGCAGTGTTGTGGGTCATCAAGTTTTATCGAAATAGTAAGATCTATGCTATTTCACAACATCTGGAATCCATCACCCCTTTGTTGTATACAACAGTATAATGTGATATATCCGATTAAGTTTTCTAGAGAAACTTAACTGTTTAAGACAACTAGCAGAATAAAATTAAAATACCAAGGAATACTCATAAATAATTGAATTTCTTACCTCATCATATAAGAAAACTTTCTTTCGTTCCTCTTCCCAATCTTTAGTCTTGGCTATCAGTAGGTCCACCAAAGCTGCAAGAAAATCATTGCATGGATACATACTACTTATGGTTTAGAGTTGACAGAGTTGGCTGTAAAACTGGTTTTGGGGAACAGTATTTGGCCTTTTTTCAAGCTAACTGATTGCCTAATTAAAATATTTAATATTTTATAGAGTGATTTCTGCATTTTAATATTTTATGGAGTGATTTCTGCATTTTCTTAGTTACTTTGTATCTTATTCAAAAATGTTACTTGTCTTTGACCTGATCAAGTCCAAAGGACATTGCTATGTTCTGTTTGGTTTGATAAAAATTGATGAAAACTTTTCCTGACCCTACCAGGTATTTTGTTCACCATTACTCGGGCACGTTCTGCACGTTTCAGATTCTTGTGAGCACCTCTACTGACTGAATATCGATTCTCATCCTGAAAATATGCATTGGTTTAGAAAATATGTAATGGACAGAGGAAAGTTAGAAGGCAATTAATCATGTAGATCAATACATAGGAGAAACTGACCATACTATATTCTTCTAGCCATCGCTCCTCGTCACGTGCTGAAATCCACTTTTCCACCTTCTCCATTATAACCTTCCTGCTAGAGGCTTCTTCTTTTGCTTTGGATATCTGGTCATCCATGCTCATGAGGAGATCAGCGTGGTCAATCTCCCCTTTTTATAGGCATTATTAGTCAGTTTGTGAACTAGTATAGTACTTAAAACAAAATTATGCTAATGTAAGATAGATATTATTCACTCAATCCCACCCGAGTTTATTAGATTTATCATATTATCCATCTCTGACTGTGAAGGGATATCCATGTGCGATCTATTGCATATCTCCTCGAGTTCAAATTGTTTCTTAACGAAAAGTTCTTTCATCTTGCTTGCTTTCAATTGATCCAATCTCTTAACTTCAGCCTCCACCTTGAAACATTTCGAAACAACATCAAATCTTGCTTGTGATGCTGATGCTCTTGAGAATTATTGATTACATATGTACTAACCTGCTGGATTATATCAAGGGTGAGGCTTCCAGGAGAGGATATTTCAGCCGATGAAGCTGACAATAATAAATTAGTAATGTGACAGAACAATTGACGGTCTTCGAAAGGCGTATCCATAAGGTTCCACAAGTTTGTCAATGCTTTACCAAGATGGTGAAGCTGCAAAGTCCACACAAAATCCACGGAGAAGACAATTCATTATGTCGATGCTTCCTCTGAGCAACAGACAAGTCAGAGGGTGGTGAGTAAAACAGCTTGAATAAGTTTTACCTTCTCTAGTCGCTTGTGTTTTTCTTCTTCAAGAGACTCTACTGTGCTGTTTAGTTTAACCAAAATACCGTCACTTATGTTCTTTGACAGTCCAGACAATTCATTCAGGCTTGGGTGAACTTTTGTGATGATCATTGACGAATCCATTCCCAACGTGGCAGACAGGTTCTGAACTGTGCTTATATATTTTTCCACTCTTTGGAGTCTGTCATTCTTTGACATCAATTGAAGAGAAAACAGAAAGGGAAACAATAAAAAAAGGCATTACTTGATGCACACACTCAATTTAAGTCCTCACTAAACAATTATTGATTACTGTTATAGTACCTTCTCTTTATGCAGCCTTTGTAGCTCGATTTGGTACTCATCGAGTTTTTTCTGTGAAAGATCGTTCTCATTTACTTGGATTTTTGATGATGAATCATCGCATTCTGATTGACCTGCTATTTCTGCAGAAATTTTCTGAATTTGCCTTTGCACGCCTTGGAATTGCTTCACCCTCTCTTCTTTCCTCAGTTGCATTTCCCGTAGAGCTGGGGTAATTGAATCTAGCTGCTCTTTTAATGTTCCTGTCATTTTCTCTGGCTGTTGATGATAAAATGTTCCAAATTAGCATCATTCCAGAATTGTTACTTGATTTAATTACGCTTATTATTAATTAAGTTTCACATAACTCCAATATACTTGTTTGTACCAAATCGATAATTCTGTTCCGATCATATACAATTCCCAACATTAATTTTCACATAACCCCAATATACTTTAAATGTAATGTATTATTATTTGTATTTGTATGCACAAAATCACTAATTCTGTCCCGATCATATGAACTTATTTAAATACAATACCCAACATTGTTGCTCCTGTCATTTTTTTTCCGTCGAAATTTTCCTGTACAGGATTATTGCTCTGAAGTTATATGACTGGTGATGATTCAGCTTTTTGACAGGTTTTAAAATAAAAGGGTTAATTGTACTTTACCCCGTCAACTATCACCAAATATTACCTTACCCCTCCCCCCCAAATATACTTTAAAATTGTTCATTTAAACCTTTCAACTATCAAAACCAGTACAATGATCTCCTTTCTGGAGGGTGAAAATAAAGCAATTTTGTTAGTTGAAGGGTCTTGAAATATACAGTTTTAAAGTTGAGGAAATTAAGGTTATATTCAGGGATAGTTAAGAGGGGTAAACTGTAACTAACCCAATAGATTAAATGCTAAATGCAACATGATTCTATGTACTCTGTTTGCATAGGTCAACTTGTTGGTATCAAAACAAACTTATTTACTGTGATCAACTTACCCTTCCAGGGAGAGACCGTTCATCGAGGGAAAGAAGGAGGTGCGTAAATTCAGCCTCTGATTCTGCTAACTCCTGATGCAGACGTGCTCTTGAAATGTTTGCACTGTCAACTTTTCTGCGATAAACCTCTAGACACTCCTGCTCTAGGTCTAGGAGAACCTTTTCCCTTTCAAACTGATCTTCTCCAACTTCATCCCATATCATCTGTTTCCCCTCCAAAAAAAAACTACCCGTCATGAATGAAACGACTATTGCCATTATTTGTTTATAAATTACTATTAAAGAACTTGCCTGCAATTCTTGGAGTAAATATCCACATGATGCTTCTACCAATGTCGAGCTCCGCATTCCCATAGGTGTTTGGAAAGACCCCATTATTGTTCTTTGTAAAAGGAAGAGGCTTTGAGGGAAAACTAGACTCCTAGGGAGAGAGTAGCTTCTTCATCATAAGCAACAAAATAATTTGTAGAGATTGTGGTTTTGTATGAAGAAGTTAATGTGTGTGTATGTGTGTGTGTGTGTGTGTGTGTGTAAGAGAGAGAGAGAGAATGATGGTGCTGTGGGTATGAGTATTTGCTTAAAAGATAAGGCTGACAGAGGTTGGTGATGGTGATAGTGAAGCTTTGGGTTCAAGGTTTCTCCATTTCTTTTGCTCCTCCACCCCCTTTTCTTTTCTTTTTCTTTCCCTCTTTCAGTTATTTTGAAGTTATTTGAAAAAATGAAGGAAAAACATATTTCTCTACCTAATTCAGTGAGGGTACAGTTTCGTTTTCATATATGATCTGATATTGCTTAGAATACTGCATTGATCTTTTGCCACGTCTAAGCCTTTTAAGGCTTTTACAGGAACTTCATTCCTAAGCAATCTCCGCCTCACAAAGGGAATTTGTTAGATTTATAATTCTGTACAGGTCGATCCACCTTCAAACTGATATCAATTGTTACCTCAATATTTAAGTATGTGTGTGTATATATATGTTAGAAGGCTACGCACAAAGGCAGTGTGTGTCTGGAAAAAAAAATTGAATATGATGAAAGAAAAATTGAAGAAATCAAATACTTGGACAATTATATATGGGTAATTTGGTCATGAAAGAATGTATCATATAGTTTCGCCAATTTGATAAGTATATGAGAGGGTAATTTATATGAATAAATTGGGCCGAGATTGGGTAATGGGCCGCTTTGGGCCGTAGTAAGAAAGGCGGAGTAAAATGGTTTTTTTCATTAGCTCGGTCCAAGAAGGTCTTGTTGTTATCTCGGTCGCCACGGCCAAATTGGTTGGTCCGGTCGTAATCTTTAACCGAGGTATATCTGGCCTTCTTCGGGACTTTTGTTCTCGGTTAGCTCGGTCCAACTCTTCTACGGATAGTTCGGTCTTGGTATGCAAAGCCGAGGTAGAAGTGAGGAAGTAAAGAGCCGATCTGACAGTTATCTCGGTCGTATGGTCATCCTGCCGAGGTAAAACCATCTCACTTGGTTTAAGCAGTGAGGGGTGTTGAAGGGTAAGCATTATCCTTCAGGAGTATGAATCCTATGAGGACTCTGCATGGAGAAGTAAAAGTCCTTCTTGGATTATGTCACATAAAACCTATAAAAGCTCACAAATATCACTTATGGAGAGATAAAACACAATTTTGATTCCTGAATACACGGAGTTTTTGTCTACTTGTCTATTTTTCTGACTTAGGCATCGAAGGAGTTTCCGGCAGACACCCGCCGACTAGCTCACGTTTGTATTTTTAGGGAGTAAAACGACGACGTTTGGAGGAACGCGGACTTGATCAACAGGATTATACGAGAATGTTTATTTCTTTCCCGTACAATGTATATATTATATGTATGTAATTTCCGATTTGTTACGCAATTGAAAATAGTTTTCTCCTATTATTTTTTTGCTATTTAAGTTCATTCCAAGATATCCCATTTGATTGGATCTAGATTGTTGGATCAACAGTCCCATCTTTTTGAAAAATATATGTTCCCTTTTTTTAGATATTCTGTAATGGAACAAAAAATTCCACAATATTGTCAAATAAGAAATACTTTTAATAAATATAAAAATTGATTTTTATTTATTATAGTTTTGAATTTATATATAATATATTAGACACCATTATCACGTGATTTAGGAATTGTTTCTTTAATAAATATCAATTCATCATTGACAAAAACCCTCCACCTTCCTCACGCTTTTTTTTGGTACTGGTTGGAATCAAAGCAGTCTTTTTCTCTTAAGAAGCCTCTTTAAAGAAAGTTTCAATTGCTTTATCTTTGCTAAACATTATTATTTTAGTATAACTGAGCAGTCCTATTCTGGTGGGGGAGAGAGAATACTATGAGTGTTGAGCAGTCACACAAAAAAGAAACAAAAATTCATCTAGGATTTTAAGGTAGTGAGTAATGGGAATGCGAATTAAATTTCTATTTCACAATTTTGAATCATTTGATTTGCTTTATCTATCTATCTGTACTATTATGAAGTGAAGGTCTAAATTAGTTTAGTGAAAATTTTTTTTTCTCATGTCACGTGACAACTTTATATATGTTAAAATAAAAAAATTATTATATATAGCTTAAATAAGTTTGAAACTTAAGATCTTAAGTTTCATTAAGAACATACTTATCACTTAAGTATATTATGATATTAAATTTTTTATTCTTTATTTTCATTATTAGTTATTTAAATTACACACGTATCATGTGTGCCGTCCGATAATTCCCAATAATGAGAGCGCAAATTAAATTTATTTGCAGGGTTTTGAATTACTTGAAAGGGAGGGGGACTCAAGGCTGCTATAAGTTTGGATTTTGGACTCGGGAAATCAGAGATTAAGAAAAATTTTATAATCTACCTATCTATATTATATATTAAACAAAAGAGGATTTTTAATTTCAAACTTTGTGGGAGATCCAATCTCTCAATCTAATTTTTTTGATTTTTTGATTTAAAAAGAAAAAAAAATCTTAGCATTTATTAACTTCTTTTAACTCCCAAGTCTTACCATCATAATAACACTTTAATGTATTAAGAACAAGCATAAAAAAAAAAAATCTTCGAAATTCAACACATAAGAATTTTTTGAAAAGTCCAACACATATGATTATTATCCCTCATAATATTGAAAAATTCAACACATATGATTATTATCAAAATATTAAACTTTAATATAATATAATAATAAAAAAAGACATTTAATTTCATGAAAAGTCCAACACACATGATTATTATTAAAATATTAAACTTTAATATAATATAAAAAAGAAAAAAAAGAAGACATTTAAAAAAAATATATTTAAAAATCACAATTCACATATATAGATAATTGTAAACACAATCCGTGCATAGCACGAGTGATATGCTAGTATATTATATAAGCAAAAGAGGGTTTTTAAGAACATTGATTGTGGAAGCTCTAAACTTCCAAACTAATTTTGTTAAAATATTAATTTTTAAAGAAATTTAAAAAAAAAAAATCTATTGGTTGGTTCCTTAAGTCAAAAAATTAAAAAAAAAAAAAAACTCTAATTGTCTATGATTTTTAATTTTAAAATTTAAAATATTACGGTAAGTCACCATCACCCTTTCCAAAAATAATATTAATCGAAACAATTCAAATAATGAAAAAATAAATGCACTAATTATTTATGATTTTGTATTTCAAAAATTTAAAATAATATGATAAGTCACCCTCACACAACTCTTACCATTTTCAAAAATAATATAAAACCTAAAACTTTAAAAACCCAACCAAATTAAAAATTCAACACAAATTTCTCTTTAAAATATTCAGTATTTGATCTTTTTTTAGTCTGGCCAACTTTGCTCCAAATATAATGGTGCAATGGTTAGTCTCTCTCTTTCTTTGCCAGTAGTCCAAATTTATTTCAAGTTTGTTTGTTTGTGTTTGTGTGGGTTTTTTTTTTTTTTTTTTTGTGTGTAGATTTCTATTTTTATGTGAGTATTTTTTTTTCCTCTATGACTTTTATTCAATGTATTTTTTTTTTCAACTAAATTGATAATAAAGATATATCAGTTTAGCTATCTTTGTTTTGAGAGTTTATTTATTTCAAGTTTTGTTTTATTTTAGTTTTTGGTGGATGTTTGTGTATTTTTATGTGTCTGTAAGACTTTTATTTTATCAAATCTACCCAAGAGATGAGCACTTCATCAACTCTGTTGCCGAGCTAAATCATCTCGGCTTCAGTTCTAGAGTTGAACAGACCATCAACTCAGTTGACCGGGCATGATCACCTCGATTAAAAGAACAGAGTTGAGCATGTCAACTCTGTTGCTGAGCTAAATCATTTCGGCTTAAATTCTAGAGTTGAACAGATCACCAACTCAGTTGACCGGGTAGGATCACCTCGGTTAAAAGAACAGAGTTGAGCATTTCATCAACTCCGTTGCCGAGCTAAATCATCTCAGCTTCAATTCTAGAGTTGAACAGATCACCAACTCAGTTGACCGGGCAAGATCACCTCAGTTAAAAGAACAGAGTTGAGCATTTCATCAACTCTGTTGCTGAGCTAAATCATTTCGGTTTCAATTCTAGAGTTGAACAGATTACCAACTCAGTTGACCGAGCAGGATCACCTTGGTTAAAAGAACAGGGTTGAGCACTTCATCAACTCTGTCGCTGAGCTAAATCATCTCGGCTGGGGGGTGTTGCCCCTTGTTCATTACACCGTCCATTAATCAAACAAATTTATCACGTACAATAACTCTTCGCTATTACGTTCATGAATTTTACAAGGTGACAAGAAGAATTACATGGTAAATCAAGGGGAATGCTTGCTCTTTACAAAAAATTACACTAAAAGATAGAAACTAAAAATAAAACAACTTCAAATTGGCTGCGTTCCACGACCGTGGTATAACTTTGCCATCCAAGTCTTCCAGATGGTACGTTCCTTTGCCCACCAGACCGGTGATCTTGTAAGGCCTTTCCCAGTTTGCCCCCAACTTTTCTTCGCCTGGCACCAGGGTGTTGCCCATTACCTTCATCAAAACCCAGTCCCCAACTTTGAATGGTCTGGGATGAACCGTCTTGTTATGCTTCCGAGATAGTTCTTGTTGATATGCCGCGACATGGATCAAGGTCTTTTCTCGGCGCTTTTCTGTGAGGTCCAATTCTAAGATGATGGCTTCGACGTTCAAGTCGAGCTCGAAATTTTCGCTGTAGACGGTGGGCATACCAATCTTCAACGGGATGACTGCCTCCATAACATATGCCAAAGCGAACGGTGTCTCCTCGGTCAAGCGTCTTAGTGTTATTCGGTACGCCCAGAGAATATTTGGCAGTTCCTCAGCCCATCTTCCTTTGGCTCTCTACAATCTCTTCTTTCAGCCCATCCAAGATGGGCTTGTTTGATGCTTCGGCTTGGCCTTTGGATTGAGGGTAGGTCGGGGTGGAATTATAGAATTCTATCTTTAGCTCTTCACAAAATCCTCTGAACAACCGTCCATCAAATTGAGTGCCGTTGTTGGAGATCAAAGCCTTGGGGACGCCGAACCGTGTTACCACATTCTGCCAAACAAATTTCTTCACATCCTTTTCCTTAATTGTCGCCAAGGGCTCGGCTTCCACCCACTTGGTGAAGTAGTCCGTTGCCGCTACAAAGAACTTGCGATTGCCTGGCACGGTAGGGAGTGATCCTATTATGTCAAGCCCCCATATTGCG